AGAAATAATATTCGGACCGAAACCGGTCCGAATATTATTGGCGCGTCTACACTGTGGACTCCCGCCAGAAATATTTTTTGGTATTTAATATTTATTTTTTTTTCAGAAATAATATTCGGACCGACACCGGTCCGAATATTATTGGCGCGTCTACACTGTTGACTCCCGCCAGAAATATTTTTTGGTATTTAATATTTATTTTTTTTCAGAAATGATATTCGGACCGAAACCGGTCCGAATATTATTGGCTCGTCTATACCGTGTGTCCGCCAGAAATATACGGACCGATACCGGTCCGAATATGTTCATTGTATATTCAGACCGATATTGGTTCGAATATTTATTTTTTCGGACCGACAGTATTTGGTCCGTATATGGTCGGTCCGTATACGTCATTTTTCTAGTAGTGTTTTTTTCCTTACTAGTTATTAAACATACTATATTTAATGAGAGAAGCAATAACATTAGAAAACCAATGGCTTCCGTCAATTCCATGTTTAATGGCTTCTCTCCATTTCGCCCGCTCTTTTACACCCTTCACTAGCTATATAAAGCACTCCAAAGGAGTTAAAATAGATAAATAAAGGGAGTATATATTATCACAGAGTGAAGTTGTGGAGATCACATGCATAAATTCAATACTTTTATCCTATGACTATAGAAACTAAAATAAACACATCACTGTTGTCAATTAATATCTTTAACTCAAATCTGTCCTGCACCTTTGATATTGCAACGTATAGTTGTTCATATGAAAAAATAGATTTAGGTAGATATATTCCCACTTATTGAAGTGTGTGTCCTTTTGTTGATAGTCATAGCAAAACACAACTAGTATTAGATTCTGTCTCCTCTTAAAAACAAATAGTAGTCTCACATTTTGTGGACTCAATGTTATCCCTGATATGAGGCATCTTTGTCCAACATGAGAACCTGTCATAATTTTTGCGCCAATAAGGCTTGGAAACAATCTCTTAATAACTATCCTTGTACCATTACACAGTTTTGCTGTAATATCCCAAATTTTCGGGAATATTTAAGTGTAAGTTAAGGATTAAATTGTGAGAAAATATTGCTTTGGGCTTAATAGCCAACATTTTGAAAGTTGAGGGACTTAAAGAGGGAAAGAATTTGGATAAGGATGGCTCCTTTCCTTTTTCTCTTTTTTCCTTCTTTCTTTCTTCTCCAGCCCGCATGTTCTGCTCTTCCCGACCCCCCTGCACCCGAGAGAAAAAAAAAAGAAGGGGAACCCAGCCATGCTTGAGAAACCGGTGAGAGAGCTTGGTTTTTGGCCTTCTTTTCTTGCTCTAGAACACTTCTAGAACCCAGAAATCTCTCCCCCTTTGCTGGAAAAGCCGGATCTGCTCTGCTCTTCTGCCCTTGTCCGCCGGCTGCTCTTGTTGTGGGTGCAAATTCTGGGCATTTTTCGGTAAGAACAGCCATTAAATTCCTTTGTTCTTGCTTGAATTGGCTTGGGTTTATGTTAATTGCTCTTGGTTCCTTCAATTTTTGGGTAGATTGCGTGATTCTTCCCTGCACTTGCCGTCGGCTTCTCTCCCAAACTGCAGCTCGGTTTTGCTTGCTAAATTATGGTATGTGATAGCCTTTTAAGGCTTAAATTATCCATTTTGTTTGCTGCCTTGTGTGTCCGTGAATTGCTAGAAAATTGGGGATAATTCCGGTAGCTTTAGGACCATGATTAAGCACTAATTCAAGTGGGATTTATGTGATTGAGTGTTAATTGCTTGTTGTGATTTTTGGAGAGAAAATCCCGTGAGATTAGCTAGTGTGTTGGCCAATTTTTGGAAGTGCAGTTACTATTCATGTCGGGTTTACTGTTCACGTCGTGGTACTGTTCATGGGTACTGTTCACACCCCGAGGGCCAACAATTAACGGGGATTTAAATGATTAGTTTGTGATAAAAGAACGAATTTGGAGATGTCCGATCATGTGGAAAGTGATAGAAATAGCATTGTGATTAGGAATGATCCTAATAAAGTGTTTAGTGTGAATTTGTGATAGTAGTATTAATTCTTGAAATATTTTGATTAGGTTCCCGATCGTTCTGTCAGTTAGCACTGAGATTGAGTGCTCGGTTTTATGCAAGTGAGGTAAGTAATTTATGGTAATGCCCGTACTGTTTTAAAAGTATGTTTTGATTTGTTTTTGAAGTGGTGGCGGGACTAAACCCGTTTTACACAAGTGTGACTGATTTGAAGTGAAATGTTTTGTGCTTTTCATGATATTGAGCATGCCTACTTGAAAGTTTAAATGACTATCCTGATGATCTGAAAGTGATTGTGAATTGTGATTTTCCTGTTAACTTCTGCCTGTTTTGTCTCCGATATGGTCATGTTATTCGTGTGCCCGCTAGTG